AAATACAACAAAACACACATAACTTGTAATAATTGTGACAATAATTTTATTATAATTATATTATATATATTTAAAAGTATGAAAGATCTCAAAAACACTTATTTGATTGAAATAATGATCTAAATTTATGATTGAAAACTGAATACCATTTAAACAACAAAATCAATTGTAAACCACATTATTGTTTGACGTATGGGTTTGTGAATCAATTCAATGAATAATTCATTCATTTATAAAAACAAATTACATTATAAAACACGAAATTTTATTTTCTTTATATATACACACACTTCACATAAAATGTATCACATTTTGATTGTAAAACAAAAGCTAATAAAATAAAAATAATTTATTTTCTAGTCATGACATTGAAATCACAAAATAGTATTGAATTCCAGTATATTTACACCGATTGAAAATATATTATAAAACACACAATGATTTACACACAAAATATAAGACTGTTTTTACCGCAAAAATTACTAAAAGACAATAACATAACGAAACAATTTATTTACACAACACTTTTGGGGATTAAATACAAATCATTTCTATTGAGAGACCCGTATATTGATTGTGGTTTTTTGTTACAATAAAATTTTCAAAAAATATAAATAATATCAAAAAAATCAATTGTTAAAACTTCTGCCAAAAATGCAAAGTATAGTACTGTCTGTACGTATGTATCGAAATGCTGCCTATTTTTTAAAATCCAGAATATGTGGCTCTAATCCTAATCTTATCGCTACTCTGTATATCAATTATTATTGTAAGTTAACAATAAAATTGCTTTCGAAAAAATATCAACGAGTTATTTATTTCATTCATAACTTATTATTGTTTTCCTTGTTATCGATTCTGAGGTAAGTTTTGTGGATTTTTGAGAATTTAATGAAAATGTTTTTTACATTTACAGCAATATTATTTCTACTTAAGCTGTTGATCAATGATCATGTTTATTTTAATGATAGCAATCATCACTGGATTTGCAAATCCTATTCACTGCCTCAGCTTTTATTTTACTAGTAATTAAATTATATAAAATATTAACACTTATTTAGTTAATTGAATTTATTATTATATAAAGCAGTTAATGTTTATTTATAAATTACTTTTTATTTTAATAATAATTTTAATGAGTAGTAAATAAACAATATTTATTTAAATATCAGTTTCAGTACAAAATTTATTGAATCAAAAATAAACTATTTTGTGTATAAAATGAATGAAATAATGAGACACTTATTCACTACTTTTTGGTGCCTTTCATATTATGGAAGAACTTTTCCCAACAGAGGCGGCGCTCTTCGGCCTCATTCTTGCGGTGTCTTTGGACGAGTCGTTCGATCGCTTTCCTCTCCTCCAAGTCGTTGTTTTCGATCTCTTTGTATGTATTATCGATATCTTGACGTAGTTTTACCAGTCGTTGTGCCGACGGTTGAGTCCTCATTGCGGTCGGCGTTTGAGCTCCGGGTGCGCCAAACTGTGCGCCCATTAGCGCCGCTTCGGCCGCACTTGGATTCAATTGATTGATTCGCAACTTCTGGCGCTCAAGAATGGCGTCAATTTCGCGCACAGTTTCCGCCCAAAGGCTGTTCATCTGACTGTCCCGTAACTGATTCATCGCCGGCGCGCTGTCCGCCACCGGCTGTACGGTTCTGACCCTCGACTCCCACTCCGACCACATGTCGGACACCTTTCGATTGCTTTCGTTTTCAAGTGTCGTTAACTGACGGATCAGTTGATTCTCCCGTGTCTTCAATGCATTGGTTTCCTCCAGCAATACATTCTTCTTTTGCTTATATTCGTTGCGAATGCGATCGCGACTCACATTGAGTGCCTTCTGCCACGACTCCACTATCTTCTGTTGTCTCTCTTTATGTTTGTCCACTATTTTCTGCATATCTCCCGCCGTCGGAGCCATTGATTGCTTTTTGTCTTTGGATTTCAATTAAAATCAAAGAATTTATATGAATGTAATTTCTGTGGGAATATTCTGTTCAATTGATAACGAATTTCAAATTTAATTGTTTAAAATCTGTATTAATTTCTATGCATTTTAACCGTTATTACAATTACTCGTCTATTATTTAACGTGAATTAAATCATTTATTTTTCATTATTTGTAATGTTTTTAATCTCGTGTTAAAAATGTATAATTATTTTGGTATATAAACTGAATTCAAATAATTAAATCTTACATTCATTTCAAAAACAAATTTCAGTTACCATTAAATCAATTGAAAAAACAGTTAAATTCAAAATTCAAACCAAAAGTGAAAATCAAATACAAATTAAATCAATTGAATCCAAAGTGAAGATCAAAAAGCGAGTCAAAGATATGGACACAAAATCGGAGACGAAAGCGACGGAAAGCGATGACCAGAGCGGACCCGAAAGCCAAGTGCGGGCCGAAGGCGACGGACAGACAACGGGAACCAATGGCCAGACAGTGACAGCCGACGGGACGGCGCCGGCGGTCAACCCTTTGCCGTCGAGACCCAGACGTAAACGCCGTCGTCGGAGGGGATCGTCCGATGAGTGCCGGAGTTGTCGGCGCCGGAGACAGAGGCGCCGCCAACGGTCAGAGGCGGCCGCCGGGAGTGTCACCGAAGCGGTTCCCAAACGGCCGTACAAGAAGAAGATCAAAGAGGAGCCCAAAGTTACCGGTATATGGGGTCGGGTGGCCAACAGGTACCGTCAACTCAAGAGCAAAATCACTGGATAATAAAAGCAAAAAAAATCTGATCAAAAAAGTGGTGTCTTTTTGTTGTCTCCTTTGATTTGAATGAAAATTTGTTGATTAAAAAAATTAATTTCTCTCAAAACTTGTGCACTTTTAATGCAAATTTAATCTCTCGTCAATTATAACCAATTATAAAGTTGTAATCTTAAGAAACGGATCAAATAAGGTGATGCCTATTTCTCGGACATTACAGCTAAACAATATAATTACGTATCTAATTAAGTATCTAATTTATACATTTATATGAAATTGTATATTTTAAAGAGTTTTTAAATCAAAACCCATGTTGTTCAAAATGTTGAATATTGTAATTTTGCTATTTTAAAATAAAATATACAATTTAGCCAGACATCATTATTAATTATTAGTAATAATAATTTATTACATTTATTTATAGACTTCTATTTGTTTATCTCAGAAACTCTTCCAAAACAAAAGGCAATTAAAATAATACATTTAATAAAAGTGGTGTAAAACGAGTGAAAATCCATTTGAAGTAAAACTGCCTCCAAATGTGAATATAAATTGGTTTTGAATCCATAATTAAGCGCCGGTTTTGGGAGTAGTTTTGGTCACTTCGGGACAAAACCGGTTGAACTTGAGATACATTTTCACAAATATTTAAATCAATTGTTGTTTAATTTTGTTTTTCCCAAAGAAAATAAACAATAATATATTTTACGAGACATTTATTAGATTTTTGTTTTGTATAAATTATTTTGTTTTTGACACAAATTCATACATTAATACTAATTATGAAAGTATTTTTGTTATTTTCCTTTAAAATTAACATTTATTCTTACAGTTAATTGTCATTCAAAGGGCTAATAAAGAAAGTTTTGCCCAAAATAAAGGCACATTTGGTAACAAAATGCTCGTAAATATAAATATATATCCAGTAAATGAAATAATAACAAGAATTAGTTTGAAATCGTGTTTATGGTTAAGAGTTTCATAAATTGTATTCAATTATTGATGCAATTGTTTCATTCAAATTGCTTTATAATTATACGTTTGAATCGAGACGTGATTTCTATTTTGTTTTTTCACTTCAATTTTTAGGAGATTTCATTTCAAATGGCATTTCATTGAAATGTTTGCGAAAAAAAGTTTTGAAAACATTTTCTAATAATTTCTCTAAAATTTTTATTATATCTACAAATAGTGCCATAAATTGAGTTTAACAAGTGTTTTGTGAACAGTTTTATATAAATTTAATTTTGTATAAATATAATGAGTTTTAGGTAAGGCTTTCATTACTTTAAAACATGATTTTTTAATTAAATCTAATATTGTTTTTGATTTTTATTGATTTCATGATTTTAACGAATAATTTGAAGTCATATGTCATTTAAAACTAATTGAGAATATAATTATATGTGTAATTAATTAGCTTTAAAATCAATTTTAATGTCGGTATAATTTTTGGAATTTTATGTTAATTAAATTTAATTAAGTGAATAATTAAAATCAATAGTTTAATTATTGTAAAAATGTTAATTACATTGTGTTGTTATAAGACTTGTTATCAATAAGTTATAGAAAAATATTGGAAAATCCAATAAAATTATCTAATATTTATTTTTTGTGAATCGATGTCTCAATACGTTTCTACTAACACTTATTGTGCTGTAATTATAAGTTTTGAACAAGTTCAAATAGAATAACACCATTTCTAAATGATAGAGATATAATTAATTTGTGTAATTTATTGATTGCTAAATAATGTAAATTATTTCACTTGAAGTCTAATGACATCATATTTTCCTTAAATCTGTATTCTTTACCAGAATTTCCTCATTTCAAAAGTCATACAATTTTATTCATCATATCTTTTACAGACAATAATCAACAATAATTATCGATAAAATATAAGTAAATTTAAAACATTCAATAAATTATAGTCTATATTATGGAGTCTATAATATATGGTTTGAAAGAATTGAATTAAAGATTTATAATTAAATCTAATCTTTATAAAAATATTTTTCAAATCATTGACTCAATAAAGTTTGACATAAGATATTATTGTAATTCCGATATACTATTTCAGTATTACATATGAAATATAACAGACGGCTGTTAGGAAAGTGATTTATGTTTAGTTACTCTCAGCTTTTATTCCTAGACTTTTTTATTTGACTTTTGTAATATTGTAATAATTATTTTTCTACCCTTTTATGAACTCTCTCTCTCTCTCTCTCTCCACTCATTATCTAATGTCAAACAACTGAATGAACATAATTTGCAAATCTCTTAAAAGGAAATCAACGCTTAAATCATACGTTATTCAAATTTACTGTCAATATATCCTTGGATTTCGGGATCAAAGGACAGCACTCTTGGATTGTCCTCTTTAGGGGCCAACACCGGCGGCATCGCTATCTTCTCCGCGGCCTTCTTGCGGGACATTTCCAGTCTCTGATCAGTGAATACAAGAGTTGTTAATCAAGACAACAAGTGGTGAGACAATTGTATACCAAATTGAGTTCATTATCTGTCATAAAGCGGACTTCATTGGCGTGAGATGTGAGCCGAGGTTTGGCCGCAAACACCTTCTGGTCGTCGAAACCAATCAATCGCTTCAATAATGTCTGCACTCGTGGTCTCAAAAATATCCTCTCAATGTCTTTATCACTGTTCGGGCCATCAATGGTGTGATTGCTGTGACACAAGCGGTTCCACACCAGCGCCGACACCGACGACGAGTGATTGGGTGTCCGTTTGATGGCATGACTGAAACGATTCGCCGATTTAATGGTCAATATTTGAGACAATTTACTGATTGAACACATGTTTTATGTTTACAATCGCTTTTCAAATGCCTTTCCTTTACATAACTTTTATAACACAACAAACTATTCATTCATTCATTCATTTGTCTCACATCTGGCCAACAGATGGCAACCTTTGTTCCCATTGGCTCTCAACCATCCAATACTACATTTACCTCTAGGTTTAAGTGTTTCCCAAACAGACATATATTGTTTCCGAACTTTACGGAAGTTTTACGATAACAATATTGGATATATTATTAGTAACTTTCCAGACATCGGGAAAATTCTTTGGGTAAAAATTCTATCGAAACTTTATATGTAAACCAATGAGAGGTTAGCGTTGATTATGAGGTAATAAATTAGTTTTGCGAAAGTTTTTGAAATAAAAAGTTTGTATTGTTTTTGGTTTTCAATGCAAACAATCATTGATTGAATGAATTGTTTCTTAATTTCAATTAAAACTTTAATTCAATGAATGATTGCTTTTATTAATAATACTTTATATTTAGATTTGAAAGGCTTTTAATGGTATAACGAGTTCACCATTTGGTTAACAGTAAACCCGATGTCTGTCCGCAATCACAGTCCCATCAAGTCTTCTGATGACACTCTGGAAGAATGATCCACAGATGAGTGGACACAACGACTCTTGTGGTAAGACAGTGTCCATCGGATCCCAACCGTGATCTCAATTCCCATTGGCTTTCAATTAGTTTTATATCAATTATTTTTGATCAATAATCACATGATATGTAAACGTCTCGTGAAATGAATGAATGAATTGATATTCAAAACGAATAGTAATTTGTATTTAGATTTGAATTTCAAAACCAAAACTGATTTTTCATTTACTGTTCAAAAATCTCTTTGACTTCTTTGCGATTAATGTTTGGATCAATTAGAGTGACAGCGATTGCGACGGTTTTGTTGTCGGCAATTGTCTCGTTAGGTGTGTCTCAGAGCGACATTTGGAGTCCGTATTGCGACGCGAAGGCCAAGAATGACATCCAATAATGTTTGGATCAATTAGAGTGACAGCGATTGCGACGGTTTTGTTGTCGGCAATTGTCTCGTTAGGTGTGTCTCAGAGCGACATTTGGAGTCCGTATTGCGACGCGAAGGCCAAGAATGACATCCAACGGGTGAAGAGCTGTTCCACTGAGCGATGGACGGGTGTCTCGAAGGACAGCCATCTGTGGCAGTGCTGTATGAAAGTGGAGCACTTATGCGTCCAATTCCTCATTGTATGTCACGTTTGTCTCATTGTCTCACTTGTGGTAACAATTGATGTGTTGTTTGTCTCGACGTTAGGGCCAAACAAAGTGCAGACAACCGACGGATATGAAGGCCATGAAAGAGAAGCAGAAACAGACGCTGAAGCGAACGGTGGACTCGGAGTGCGGCCGATATAAGTACAGCGCAAAGGACTGCAAACAACTGCACTCTTCGGCCAAAGAGTCGGCGGCCGGCGGTCTCTGCAAAGAATATTTGCCCTGTTTTCGCAGGTATAAGGAGTTGCTCTCCAAAGGTTTGGCCAACTTTCAGGCAGTCGACGAGACTAAACCCGATATCGTTCCCGAACCCAACCCGGAGGGAGTGGCTCCCAATCCTGAGGGGAACAAACCGCCCGGCGATGGACCCAATCCCGGCGGCGAAGGTCCCAAACCCGGCGGCGAAGTTCCCAAACCCGGCGGCGAAGGTCCCAAACCTGGCGGCGAAGTCCCCAAACCTGTCACCGAACCCGCAAAAGCCGCCAAAAGCCACTCAATTGTTGGTCACGTTTGTAGCGATGTATTGATCTTTGGATCACTTTTGGCACTCGTCTTACACTTCAATTGATAGCCAATTGTATTAATCATTTATTTCACTCCCATTTCATCACATATTTACTAAATTCATAGACATTTAAAGCAATTTATTTAATCGCTATTATATACAAAATGCACTGTTTTTTGTCACTACAAAAATTTAGACTATATTTTAATCTTTTATTCGTTAAATTCTGTCACTAAAAGAAGTTTTATTTATTTAATAAAAAACAAGTTTTGAGAGAAATTAATTTTTTTAATCAACAAATTTTCATTCAAATCAAAGGAGACAACAAAAAGACACCACTTTTTTGATCAGATTTTTGTTTTGCTTTTATTATCCAGTGATTTTGCTCTTGAGTTAACCCCATATACCGGTAACTTTGGGCTCCTCTTTGATCTTCTTCTTGTACGGCCGTTTGGGAACCGCTTCGGTGACACTCCCGGCCGCCGCCTCTGACCGTTGGCGGCGCCTCTGTCTCCGGCGCCGACAACTCCGACACTCACTCGACGATCCCCTCCGACGACGGCGTCTACGTCTGGATCTCGACCGCAAAGAGCTGACCGCCGGTGCCGTCCCATCGCCGGTCACTGTCTGGCCATCGTTTCCCGTTGTCTGTCCGTCGCCTTCGGCCCGCACTTGGCTTTCGGGTCCGCTCTGGCCATTGCTTTCCGTCGCTTTTGTCGCCGATTCTGTGGCCATATCTTTGACTCGCTTTTTGATCTTCACTTTGGATTCAATTGATTTAATTTGTATTTGATTTTGACTTTTGGTTTGAATTTTGAATTTAACTGTTTTTTTCAATTGATTTAATGGTAACTGAATTTTTGAAATGAATGTGAGATTTAATTATTTGAATTCAGTTTATATACCGAAATAATTATACATTTTTAACACGAGATTAAAAACATTACAAATAATGATAAATAAATTATATTTTATTGTGAAAGAAATGTTTTTATTTGCTTCAATTAAAACCATTTATTTGATTGTAATTTATATTTATTATTAATGTTTTAATTTTGAGTATTAAATGAATCTTTACTTTGATTACAATTTTGAAATTTTTATAGATATCTGATAGCATTTGACAACATTTTACTGTACAATAAAATTTAAATAAATAAATATTATATATGGTAATTTATTTTGTTTATGAATTCAATTAATTGCTTCCTATTTAAAGCATATCATTAAATAAAGTTAGATTTAATAATAAGTTTTAAATAAAATATCAATATTTTTACATTTAATTAAATCATAAGACATGAAAACATGCAAAATATACAATAAAATTAAAAAAACATAACAAAAAAATAACTAAAATAAATCTCAATAACTATAACAAAGGCATAACTGAATTGCAATTTCCGTGAAATACTTTGATTTGGAGATCACACGTGAAGTACGAGTCAAAGACATCGCGATATCCATGATATCGCCACCACTGGCAGAGCTGTCGATTCCAATTGCATGGCAGCACATGAAAGAGGCGCCGGTAGTCAAAACTCATTACAGTATAGAAGTCCTGATCGCCTAAATGGCCGCTGAAGAAGTACTTCCGACAGATACTGTCTATGGATTGATGGCTCAGAAGCCTATTAAACAACTTTGAGTCACGCATTCGCTGCAAATTCATGAGCAAAACGCCGCTATTAAAACCGGGCCAACCGGTGGGCGGCGCCGAACCCAAACTGGTCTCGTTGTCGATCTTATTGCGATACTCATGGAGTATATGTCGATATACCGGTTGCTGTTCGCCAACAATACCCAACACAGCTGAGCGGCTAAACTCCCGGAACTGATCGTATAGGGCGGCGATATTCTCGTTAAACTGGACATCGATGTCGAGGAATATGAGTTTGTCGATGGATGAGAAGTATCGGTGAGCGGCCAAAGATGTGAAGAATAGTGAATGAGAGTAATAGGAGTTTTGTTTAAATGTAAAGTGAGATTTAAGTGTTGGCATTAAGTGTCGGATGAATGCATTCACTTTAGTTATGTCATGAAATTTATAGTCAAATAATTTAGCACTCAATTCAATAGAGTTTTTTCGTTCGCTATTATTATTATTATTATCTGAAGTCGTCGTCGACTTTCGGTCAATGAGTTTTAGTATATGTTTGGCACGAATTTCACTCGTCTTATCAGTTATAAGATTAACACAAATCCGTTGCTTTTCGTTCATATGTCTCGCTATTGAGCTGAGAGAGCGATAAAGTTTCTTATCAATTGACTTATTATTATCCGTATTATTAGTATTATTATTAACCGTAAAAATCATCGCTATATTGAAATCACAGTCTTTTATAGAGTTTTTATTCACATTTTGAAAACTATTATCAACTATAATATGAGATGAATGGGACTTTTTGGTCGATTTGCTGTCTTGGATCGGATCCGTAGCGACACGAATAAGCGTGTCATTCGTGGTAATCGATGACAGGTTATGATGAATGGGCGCTGAGGTGTCGGTGCGGACACTGGTTTGCAATTGTGGGTCTGGCCTGACGTACACCTGTTTCGCATACTTATTATACGGATAGGAGAGGAAAGTGGGTTCATATGGTTGTGGGGAATGCGATGAATACGCTATTAGCACATAGAGACAGGCCGTAGAGCACAGGACTATTACGAGTTTGAAGCCTTTTTGAGACATTTAGGCAACAATTTTGGTGGTCATGTGCTGTTGTGCGAGGAATGGGTGCTCAACACAGACAGTGGAGACAGTGGTTGCGGTTTTGAGATCATCGGCGCAAACAATGCCAACGATTCTATGCGAAGACATATCGACTGTGAGTCTTGAATGCAGGCAAACATTGGTATGGATTGTGTTGTTTGAGAGTTCGTCCCATTTTTTAAGGCGAGGCATTAAGACTACAATATATCTTCGCAACAATTTCCATAGCCTTCAGCCCAGACTTCGCTCCGTAAGAGAAGATTATATACTGTTGTCTAAAGTTTTTAAATATATTTTAAACGAAACCCACCACTAGTTGCACAGTGAAGGCTATGTGCGCTCTTTGCCGGAGTGGGTTGGGTCGCACTCGCGGGTCAACAGATCACCAATGATTGCTATTATTCAGTAATTCATGTATACCTTAACATACAGTACACTATTGGCAAAACACTTGCACTCGGATGGGATTGGTTTTGGTATGTTTGCCGCACACTTGCCAAATATATTCAGTTATTTTATGCCATAAATATATAAACACTTGTTATAAAGTTTATCCCAAATTCTTTCCCTCCTATCGCACATCCGATGATAATATTTATTATTATTTGCATTCAATTCAATGCATATATAATTAGATGCGAAAAAGGTTTTGCATATAATTTTATGCAAAACATCTTTTTATGGAAAGGTATTAATCAAACGAGATTTGAGTTCAAAAAAGTTGTTTTCATGAAATATAATGCACACAAACTTTTTCAATGAATATTGAATACAAAAGTATGCAAAGAGTAGACACAGTTTGCACCGACGACTCTCTAAACACAAGTGATTAACATTTGAAAAGTTTTGAACAATATATCGCACTTTATAGCAAAGTTAACATTTCATTTACAAATGTATACATCAATTCATACGCGATTCCTATCAATTGAAAAGCACAGGAAAATTAAAGAGACTTTAGTTTATGGGGAGGGAGAGAGAAAGAGGAACAGGAGAGATGACAAGTGTGTGTATGGCTTATGTATGGCATGGGTTTAGAGTTGGCTCTCCTCTGGTCGAGTGGTTGAGTCTCTGGTTTTGGTTTCTGTGTTATGTTTTAAGTGCCGATCCGTTGCCATACGGAATGCCACACATGCCATGCCATACACCTTACGCTATGCACAGCTTGATAATATTTATTATTATTTGCATTCAATTCAATGCATATATAATTAGATGCGAAAAAGGTTTTGCATATAATTTTATGCAAAACATCTTTTTATGGAAAGGTATTAATCAAACGAGATTTGAGTTTAAAAAAGTTGTTTTCATGAAATAAAATGCACACAAACTTATTCAATGAATATTGAATACAAAAGTATGCAAAGAGTAGACACAGTTTGCACCGACGACTCTCTAAACACAAGTGATTAACATTTGCAAAGTTTTGAACAATATATCGCACTTTATAGCAAAGTTAACATTTCATTTACAAATGTATACATCAATTCATACGCGATTCCTATCAATTGAAAAGCATAGGAAAATTACAGAGACTTTAGTTTATGGGGAGAAAGAGAGGAACAGGAGAGGAGAGATGACAAGTGTGTGTATGGCTTATGTATGGCATGGGTTTATAGTTGGCTCTCCTCTGGTCGAGTGGTTGAGTCTCTGGTTTTGGTTTCTGTGTTATGTTTTAAGTGCCGATCCGTTGCCATACGGAATGCCACACATGCCATGCCATACACCTTACGCTATGCACAGCTAGTTGGCTCTCCTCTGGTCGAGTGGTTGAGTCTCTGGTTTTGGTTTCTGTGTTATGTTTTAAGTGCCGATCCGTTGCCATACGGAATGCCACACATGCCATGCCATACACCTTACGCTATGCACAGCCCAGTCGTCGACTATTATTATCAAATCCCCAAATGAGCCAATCCTTGAATCCAGTTCTCACGACTTCCCCCACCTCTCCATCTCTAAGCGCATTGCCATTCAAATACAAACCCAAACAATACAATACAATTCTAACTAATATTTAACTTTTCAATTCATATCTCGATAATACAATAGACAGTGCGAGGGAGTTGTGGGGGACGGCAGCGGTGCAAACTCTGCCATCATATTTGCCATACCATACCATTCATCGGATACTTTTGGGATAATAACAGCACTTTTGTTGAACAATAGAAGAGCCAAATATAACAATTGGTCGAAAATATTTCTGTTCTGATGAGAGAGTTATACCCCTCTTAAGTGCTCTCTTCTCTCTCTAACTTATAATTTGATTATATATTAAAATATCATTTTTTTGTGGGAAACGATAAAATAATGTAATTTCAGTGTTTTTTATGTGGAGTGCATTGATTTGATT